GTTAGATGTTTAATTAAAATTAGATGTTCAAGCTAAGGAAGTTTATTGGTCCGGCTAAGCAAGAAAAAAAATGAAATAATGAACAACTCCAATTGCCGAATGCTGGCTGGACTTTTCTCTAAGCACTGGTGTGTTTTTCTGTTTAGGTTTTGGCTTATTAGGATGTTGAATTTGGTAATTTTATTGTTAAGATCAAAGTTATGATGTTTGTTTAAGATTCTAGTTTTTGTTTGGATGGAAAAGTTGCATTAGAATGACCACAAGAATGGCAAGAAACATTGCTGGAAAATGTACATAGCTGGCCGAATCTTCATGTCTTACGGTTTTAGTTTTTTTTTGTTTACTCTTTCATTTCGGTTCCAAGCTGGTATCTTGTCTAGATGACAGTTCAATCAAGCCTTTTATTGGTTGTTTGCATGAATATGTCTAAGTGTAAGAAGAAATTGCATGAGAATGGTTGTGGAAGGAAAGATTTTTCCTGAAGCTGCGAAATGGTTATAGCAGAAATTTTCTTCATGGCATTTGCATGATTTTTCTTTTATGTTTTGGTTTGATTGAATGTTGAAGTTGTTTGCGGAAATGAAGTTGGTTTGATTTGAAAGAATTTTGATTAAGTTTGTGTCGAGGTTGACATTTGTTTTGCGGAAATGAAAGTAGCAATGTTGTTTTGGGCTGCAGAAAGCTTTCAGCAAAAATGATTGTTGCAGAAACAAGTTTCTTACGCTTGTTGCATGAACCTGCATGGAAATTGTTTCAAAATTGCCTTTGAACCCCCCAAGTCCCCCCTTAGCTCACTATGGCCCAAGTAATTTGAATACTTAATCAATTTAATCCTTCAAGCTTCTCCATGTTCCACAAAAGCCCAAACATGTTCTCATTTCTTTACAAAAAGGTCCTAAGGAGGTGTTAAGATTCTTCAGTTGTTTGACACCCTTGTTGATGGAAAATCTGTATTCCGAGGGGTTTAGTGTGTGTTTGGAGGATTTTTATATACCAAAGGCTATTATTGAGGCTGTCCAGCAAAGTCTTCAAGATATTTCACCCTTGCTATATCATATGCGCTTAACTCAAAGTGAATCAATAAGATTACAGCAATCTTTTTCCATCTTGCCTAAAAGTTCCATAAGTGTTTTATATAATTTCCTTCTATGTTTTGCTTGTTGGATGTGAGTTTTATTTGTTTTGATTGCTTAATCCAGAGTTTGGACAAATGAAATGGTTATACTTAAGGCTGTCTAGAGCCCATTTGTAAATGAAGCTGCAGCAGACTTCTCCTTTAGTTGTAGCAGATTTTGAAACATGTTTTTCTTTCAGAATGTGGCGTGATATCCTGTTAAGTTTTTGGCCTTTTTAGATGCGGAAGTTCTTATTTTGGTTGCTTAGTTTTCCATTTTGGTATCTGGGGAACAAAGTTTAGATCAAAATTAGGCATTTGGATGGGAACCTGCGTTTTTGGGAAATAAAATTTCCAGCAAGTTCTATTTTCTGCCGCAATATGGTTCATCATTTGATCTTTCATTTCATTTTAAGGGTTGGTTGTTTATGAAGGGATTGAGTTAACAAAAATGTTCAGTTGTCAAGGGTGTTTGAGAGTTGGTGTTAGTTAGTTAGTTTGTTTAAAATCTGGCATGAAGTTTACAAGAGGAAGCTGCCGAAAGTTTATTGCAGAAACTTGTTTACGTTGTTTTCTTTGTTGCATGAATTTGACATGTAAAAAGTTTCAAAAAAATTGCAAATCAGTCCCCCATGTTCCTCCGCATATTACTAAGGCCCAACTATGTTCTAGTAGCTTACAATTGGGTTCTAAAATAATTGCAATTTGAGTCATGACTTGGCCCCCTTCCTTGCTTTTGAGCTTGTGAATTTCCCAAAATGTGTTAATTAGACTTGAGTGGTTGTTGATGGTTGTAATTGGTTTCTAAAAGTGCAAATTGAACCATTCCTTGGCCTTTTCTTTACGCTTTGGCCCCCTAAGTCTCTCCTTATCTTACCATGGCCCAAGCAAATTGAAGAATTCAATTAATTTGATCCCTCTAAGTTTCTCTTTGTGCCACAATAGCCCAAGCATGTTTTAGTATCTTGTAATTAAGTCCTAAAATCATTGCAACTTCAATCATTGTTTGGCTCTTTTTCTTTATTTTTGGAATCTTTGAAGTGCTTAAACGATTTATTTGGACTTGAATGTTTGAGTAATGCTTGTTTTGGGTCTTTAGTAGATGCTATATTTGGAAATTGAACGGGTTATTCCGTTTTCTTGGTCTTTAAGCATTTTTTGAGCTCATTCAAGTCGCAATTAGGTGGGTTTTGGTGTTTTTGCTTATACTTTACTTTTAAATTGATGCCTTGACCTCTTTATTGTTTTGAAGCCATTTTCCTTCATTTGCTTACCATTAGGGGAAGGTATAATTTCTTTTATCTTTGTTTATCTCTCCTATATGACCCAACGTGTTAAGTGAATTGCATGCCTACTTTGCTTTCCTAGTTTTTTCTTAATTCCTTTTACTTATGTCATTTACTTTCATTTTCATGAAGTTATTCTTTTAATGGGGTATGTGTACACCTCTTGGCTTGTAATAGATAGGGCTTTGGCGAGCAATTTGGTCCATTTTCCCCTTCCCCTTTTGTTTTAATTAGTGAATGTAATAAGTTCATTAGTTTGGTTGCATGCCTATGTGTTACGTGTTACTTGCTTTATTAAGCTATTGCATCTAGTCGAGCATGCTAAGTGTTATGTGCTACGTGTTATAAGTGATTTTGCATGTCTACTTGCTTTCTATATTTATAAATGAATGTGATGGATGAATGTACGTTTCCACTAGTCCAACGCTAGTCGGAATTCATAGAATGGGCTAGTCCAACGCTAGACCCTTAGGGACTTCCCCTCGTTAGTACATGTTTGCATGTTCATTACATGTCATGCATTTTTTTTAATTTTATCATTTTGCATGCCCCTCGAACCCCTTTTCCCTCCATTTTAGGATTTTTGCATTTCATGCTAGTTATAGGGTTCATCTGCTTGAGGGTCCCCTTAAATATGGGATATAGACGAGTGTGGCTTTTTCTAAGCCTTAGCACGCTTGTATTCCCTCTATAAAAGGGCAAATTGAGTCACGATTTAGGTCTCCCCGTACCCAATATGCATGAATTCCCTAGGCTCATGCATTTTCAAATCCACTTTACCATTTTATACCCTCATCACACTTTCATTTTTCCTCCCATTTTGCACACGTGCACCTTTATGTTTCTTCACTTGCACACGAACACTTTTATCATCACTTGCACACATGCACTTCATATTATCATTTCACCTACCATACCTTGCCCGCTCACGTGCACATTTTCATTTACATATTTATTGTTTTTTATTACTTTTTCAAACTCATGTCCTCACATTGCATACATGCATTTCATTCATTTGCATCCCACTCGCATTATTCGTGACCTCTCCAAAGGGTCATTATTGGGCTTCACAATTAATGTGATTGGCACCATTCAACCTTTGAAGAGAAATTTTCCCCAATACCCCTAGGTCTAGGGTTTGCATTCATATAGTACATCCAAATGTAATAAATTCTTTGGTTAAAACAAGAAAATATTTGATTAAATCACGCAACTAGCCTTGGCTAGGTCGAAGGGGTGCCTTGGATTTTTATCCTTGCCTTCCCCTTCGTCAAATGTGACTCCCGAACCTTTTTCGTTGGTTTACGTGGACTAGGAGTCGTTTAAAAGGGGTTTCTTAATATTTTTTCCTATTTTTCTTTAAAAATTCATTTTTTTAGGTGACTTGGTACACCTTAACTCATTACCAAGTGGCGACTCCGATTTTTTATTTCAAAAACCCTTTTTAAACTATAATTTTGGGTCAAATCGTCGCATTCTCAAACCCCCATTTAGACCCATTTTTCTTTTAAATAACAATTCATTTTCCAATCACAAATTGAATCAAAAAATACATTTTTTTCAAACCATTTATTTATTTTTTATTTATCAAAAAATGGGGCGCGACAGAGTAAAAGGAAGAGGAAAATGGGATGAGTAAACAAAAATGTGGATTTTACAATCTAATCCATTGGGTCACTAACATATTTTAAAAAATAGTATTAAGCCCCTTAATTTACTTATTCATCAATAAAGAAAACAAATTTTCTAAAAGCACTATTAGGCCCCTCATTGACTTTGTTACATACAAGATAAGAGTGGCATGGAAATTTCAAATTTTCCGGTTAATATAGATAGTTTTTGTCCATAGTATAGAAAAGTTCGAATCACACCGATACTCTTTGCATACTTTTTTAATAATATGGAGCGGTTTTGATTTTCGTGCACATAACAAGGGAATTTTGCATATTTTACGGTTGCTTTTTTCTTTGTGCTATTCAACATTTTAGAGAAAGGGAATTTTTGCCATTTTATTGTTTGGGTTTAATTACACGATGTGATGGAGAAGGCATTAAGTGTAATGTGGCTATACCTTACACTTTTGTCGATAGTTTGATTAAACTATAAGGGAGGTAAATACAATTTAACCCTAAAATTTATTATTTCTAGTAATTTGTGTAAGGTGTAGATGCCTTTGTATTGGTGTGTATAGAGAAGGCCCCACAAGTATGATATATACCACGTCTGGAATCCATTTATGGATATCTATCTAGATTTGGCGCATGGCATTTTGTCCCTAATCCGCAATATAGCTAACCTGTCCTCCACAATTATTCTAGATTTTCTTAGAATTTCACATGCCCAGCTTTACCTTGTGTTTGGTTTGATCAAACGGAATACCCCACTGCCACTTTTTTATTTTCTTTCATTTTTTTCCTCCACCACCAATTTCTGCAGCAGGAAGCTCGTGAACATGTACGGCCTGCTAAAGTGATGAAATGTAAGAATCCTCAGATGATGACGAAAAGTAAGGACAACTGCATTACAGGACCCCGTGACTAGTTGGATAGTATTAAATTATACTTCGATAAGAATTGACATTACATGCTAAACAGGACACATGAGCCATCAATTTTTTTTTTTTTTTTATCATCAGATTCAAAAGTTCAAGTTTTTGTCGCCAAGAAAGACACAAGCACAAACAATTTTTTTTTTTTTTAAAGACAAACATAAAAAACTGAAATCAAATTTTACCAACATCAGCAGGAGATTTAACTCGTGCTATCTTGGTTATTACTAATACAACAAGACACAGAATCCGAAGGTAAAGAAACAGCTATGGTTCCCGGATAAACTAAAACACCAAGAAAATCAGGTACAAGTCTCACGTGCAACACCAAGTCTTGAGTTGGGCACGTCAAAAAGAATCCTATGGTTCTGTTGTTGCAGGTTTGCAATCACATTCAGCACAGAATTTACGTTAGTAGGAGCTTCAGCCATGGCTAAGCACGTGATGCTGCCTGCAGTGCTGTGGATTAAGAAATTATCCTGAGGTAGGGTCACATTCATGCCCGAAAACATGAAGGTTAGAGTTGGCACCGTCACCGGAACAGTGTAACATGTATCGAAGCCGCCTAGCGACGACACTACTGCATTGCCCATTCTCCTCCTGAACTCATCTCTAACGGCAATGTAGGCTGGTTGGACTAGCCTGGTGAAGACAGTGCCTGCATGGATGCAACAAGTAATTAATATGAGTTAAATCAGCCTTTGAATAACCTAGGCCACTAAACGCCTCGATTGTTTGTGGCAAGAAGTTGATTGAAATTCCCAAGTCAGTGGATACGAACATGATTATTTGTTGGGTTAATTCCATTTTGCGCCTCTCAACTATATCTCAATTATCACTTTGATCCTTAAACTATAAATTCAAGTATTTTAGTCCGTAAACTATAAAAGCCATTCTAATTCAGCACAATTATAATAGAAACCCCAAAACCTTCGGAACGCTAGTCAAGTGAGCAGTATTAAAAAAAAAAAGAGATTAAACTGTGAAATGAGAAAATCCCTAAATTAGAGAAAAGAAAAGAGTTTAGGGACAAAAAATGGGCATCCATATATAATTAGGGTACTAAAGTATCCCTTAGAGTTTAAAAATGAAAATCAAAACATAATTGAAGTGCAAAGTAGAATTAACCCTCATTTGCTGGACAAACTTAAGTGGACAACCCACTTACTGGTCCAAAACCTTTTAAAAGTCAAAATCAAAGGATTAATTACGATCCCGGGATATTTTGGCCCCACCATTCCAAATTCAACCGTTAACCAGTGATAAGGACCATACTAGGGTGCTTAAAAGAACACCACCAAAAATACAAGCAAAGACAACGTTAATGCAAAAAGTAAGCACGTACCAGAATCAATTACTGTGCCAGCTCCAGTAGTGGGATTGAAGGCCAATGCCTCAGCAGGTATGCCCACCACTCGCCGTCCGACCTTAATTCCGATCAAGTTCACATAGTAAAGCGATGACCTTCTTGGGTTTCTCAGCAATTGCGTGTATTTGATATTCTTAGGCTGGCTATTAGGTCCCAATCGAAGCGATCCGGAGAAGTTCAGAGACTGAAACTGGGCAAGCAATAAGAGAACGTGGATTGATATAGATTTTGGGTTTGAGACAATAGCGATAACGGACCCCTTCCTAGGCCTAAAAGACCCTGAGGAGGCACCGAGCTGCCGGTAGCCTTCTGGATGCAACCAAAGGTATAGTTGGGAACAGGGTCAGCAGCTAGTCTTATGGTGTCTTGTGAGAGGTTTGCTGCTATGGTGGATCCACCGTATGTTAGATTGAAGCTACAGATACTGCCTAAGCAGCTTGGACCGGGTACCTGAAAATGAAATACAGCGAATTGATTAATAGGAAGCTGAAGCCCACAAAATCCCTTGAAAATTGTGTTTTCTTGTATTCTGAAGGCTTGTTGGCAGTTGATTGTTTTAGTTAATTATAAATTCTGCATTTTTATGATCAATTTATATGATATTCTCATTTGTTTTTATATTTAGATTATAGATTCTTTAATAGTTAAAAAAGTTAAAATTCATAATCAATCAGAAAGTAATTTTCTCTGATTTTGATTATCTCTATAACATTTTTTACAATTACAAAATCTAAAACAATCGAGAATAAGGTCGAAGCTCGTACACAAACTTGGCATCAATGTTATGTAACAAGAATTATTGGAACCCCACAGATCGATACCCTCGATTAGATGATAATTTCTTGCAAATAATGGAGCAATTGCTGATGAAATTAAATTTCACACTTTCTTCGGAATATTGGGAGTCTATTAGGAGAATCATACAAAAAATCATAGTCATCTAGTGACTCTTGAAAAAAGTTAAATTTCCAACTTCTCCAATAGTTTTTCCACGATTACAATTTATGAAGAACTATTGTCTTACATTTAAATAAGAATACATGTTTTATATGGCAAACATATTTTATGATCAATTAAAGGAATTTATATAATTGACATCCGTCTCCTGTATACCAGATTTATCAATTAAAAGGAAAAGTCCGCAAAATATATTGTGCCTTTACTTTAATTGGGCAAGTTGAGCACCTGAGAACTTTGCTAGGCCGTGATGAGTGAGATCAGAATCTACATCATGCACCTGGACTTTCTTGTCAAAAAGGAATCAAACTTTTGGTTCATAAAGAAGACAACAAAACGAAAAGGAGTTGAAGAATTTAATTATTAGATCTCAGTGGAGATTTCTGTGGGACGGCACTGAGATCACAGTAACAAACGACTAGTTCGATCAATGGCTATCATTACCTAAGCAGTATAAACATTTTAAAAGGTATCCCTCTAAAGTTATTAGTTCTTAATTAAGTCTAGGTAGAATACTTGCGTGTTTATTTTAAAGGTATTTTTACCTCATTAAACACTCATTTAAAATATTTTAATCACATCTTATTTATCATGTGAATATACATATTTGTAATTATTATTTTTTCTATATTTATACACTTTTTTTAGTTAACTTTAATTTTCTAAAATTTAACACTTGAATTATTTCTTAACTAGTATCTAATGAATAAATAACCCTTACTTTAATTAGGCAAGTTCAGCTCCTTGTGAGATCTCAGTTGAGATTTTTGGGGAGAGCACTCAGATCACAGTAACAAACTAGCGCAATCAGTGGCCATTGTTATCTGAGGCCCTGGAAAGACCAAATAGGGAAAAGACACCATTAAAGTTTTTACCCCAGTCAAAAGTCTGATAGTAGCTTGTCTAGTTCTTTTTTTCTTTTTTTTTTTTTACCCCGCCTAATGTTTTCATGCTTATCTATTCTTCTCTCGTCTTTAAGTTTGTCTATCAATTTTACTTTTGGATCCAAAATTTCCAGTCAAATGATTAGCTGTTTCGATTAATTTTCAGTGAGAGTTGTACTATGCACCCTTTGAAAGGTATGTAAGTACTAAATCTCGCCATACTAATGGTAAGATATCGCAAATTCATCTACTATCTTAACAGAATTTACATCTTAATAACTAAACTTACCACATGTAACGTGGTACCTTGGTGCCTTCACGACACCACAACATTTAGCAGCAGTTATAAATGTTAAGAATTTTCCATAAAGGCACTTTATAAAATTTTCATTAAAGGTTATCTAATTGTCAAATTTGTTAAGTATAATACTATAATGTGAGAACAACAATGACCGCTTTGCTTTATTCCAAAAAAAAGTGATGATAATAAATGGACAGGAACAAAACCATCTAAAATGGGACTCAAATCAATATTCAACATTAATTGGTTCACATTTTCCACAAGTCAACATACCATTTTTTTTTTGAATCTGGATTTGTTTTGAAAGCAAATTGATACACAAATTCAAGATAAAAATAAGAAAAAAAAGGTGAAATATTTCCTCAATAAGGATAGTCTTCATCCAGCATATGCTGTGATTGAGTTACTTTCATTATCCTAAAATTGACCAACTTTTGTGATTGAGTTATTATGGGTCCTAGACATAAGCCATTTTTTTCTTTCTTTTTCCTTTTCTTGGTGCGAGTATGCATAAATTGTTATTTACCATCTGGACAAGAAGGAAAGTCCAAAATACATTCAAAGCATCTCTATCAATTATCTTCAGGCCCCATGCCACGGACAGAGCATGATAGCTATATATCAAGAACTTTTATTGTTTCAATATACTTTTGCGAAAGCTAACCAACGTAATTATATTAATTAGGCAACATGCAGAAGAGCAGTATTGGGGTTGTGATTTCAAGTAGAAGAGAATACAAGTATCGGAAATGAAGATAAGAAACAAAAAAAAAAAAGGATAAAAAGAAGAATTAGCTTGTACCTCTTAAAAAATAAATAAATAGTGAACTAAGAATCAGCTGGTAGATAGCATTAGCTTTCCCACTCTTACTAGGTCTTATATCGTAAAAGAGTAGATTCTTGTTTATTTTTTGCATTTATGCTCTTGTACTAGGATTTGGCTTACATTTCCCTCCTCATTATTTTCTATTCTCAACAAAATTCGAGCTGATATCGCACACCGTGAACAGCGTGAATGGTTTGTCACAAAAAAAAAATGACTTGGTCATTATTGAGGGGGCAAAATTATTAAGGACTTATGTAGAAGCTCATTCTACAGAATCTACACAACTATAGCTATAGGCATGAGCGTACCTGTTGGCACTGAGCGCTCCCGCAACCAACATTTTTGAAAGTGGTAGACTTAGTTGACTCAAACACTGTAGAACCACATCCTACACAACCATTGCAGGGTACCCAGCCAGCATCATTGCTAGTATCCATAGCCACAAGCAAGGTTTGGGCTGGTGTCCCAACTTTAACCCTTACAATATAAGTTGGACTTTGCGTGATCTGCCTCCCAGAAGCAACAGGCACCACAGACCTGCCTGCTACAAGACTGGATAGAAAAAGAAGCCTTGCTTCGTCCTTTGACTGCATTTGGAGAACACTCTCTTCCCACGAGAGAGGTGTTTTCGGCTTAAATGGGGAGCATTGGCTGTAGACATGGTAGACCTGGAGGGTTGAGCCTTGGTCAGGTGTGGTACATGACTTGAGACTCAGCCCTTGGGCCAAAGAGAGGAACAGAAAGGATAGTGCTAGAAGGGCGGCTTGCAGAGGGTGGAGGAAAGCAGGTCTCATGGCTTCTTTCTAGCCTTGAGTCAAATTGGTTCAGTGCTATACAGGGGGAGGGTGCCCAATGATGTGCATATATATAGCAAGGAAGTAGGTGACGGGGGTGGTTAATTAGGATGCTTTTCAGAATTTAGATTAAAAAAGTGGATTGACTGAGCACTTTGATGCTACATGAGATGAGTAGCTTAGCTGGCATTTATTTAAAAAATAGCGTTAACTAACATTCATTGATGCGAGGAAGAATGAGCTAAATGGTTCGTAGAGTGTAAATGAGAGATTTTGCTAAAAAAAAACCTACCAGTCACACAAAACATAAGATGTAGTTTTGACTCTAGGCCAGGAGATTTTTTTTTTCCCGAAGAATCTAGGCTAAGAGTTCAAATCACTTAAATTAAGTGAGCATAGTAATGTACTCTTATCTATAGACTATAGATGGGATCCTTCTTGAACCAGTTAGCATTCTCTTTTAGTATAGGTTAACTTACGAATGGCACGGTTATTATTTCTTTGATAAAACAAGGTACAATCCGTAGTTTGATATCATATAATTCGATTTTTAAATTGAGATACTATAATCTTCTGAGTAATTAAATAACTGAATTTACTTAAATGGATACTCAATTGGTGGAAAAGTAGAATTTCTCCCAAGTTTCGCTATCCTAATTGTTTAAGTCCATAAAGCAGTGCTCAGATAAATTATTTAATCAAAAAATATGCACATATGGAAAATCATTAGACGGAAATGGAAATAATAATAATAATAATAATAATAATAATAAGTCCCTACCATGTAAAGAAAAAACGTAGGGGATTGTTGGTGGACCTATTGTATGAATATCATAGAGTACTTGAGACCAGACTGTACTCCATTTACTTTGTATGATAGCCGATTGCCTCTCTCGAGCGACCAATATCTATCATTAGTATCATGCTACCACTCAGATTTTTCTGCATGTGCCGTGCACGTTGAGAGTGAGAAAGAGAGACGGGTGGGAAATTTTGGAATATTGGGATGTACATACATTCATTACAGAACAAGTCTAAGGGCACCAAAAGTTTTCAGAGAATGTGAAGAATAGGTGTTTCCCAGACACAAATAGTGGAATTTCTAAATAATTGTTACTTACATTCTGTTCTTTTTGTCTGTTATGCACAGTGTGGTCTCTTTCCCAGTTCCCATTTAATATTTAATTCTAGGTTTTGTGGGCAACTACTGATTTATTATCACATCTTAAACCCATTTAGCCAGCTACAAACTTCTCTGGAAATTTTGTTTTCTTGCACGACAGCAGCAATTTTTGGCGTGACAAGTAATTCCAAATTTCGCTGTGGGTAGGACGAAAAGCATACTCTTCCATCATCTTGAGGATACGGGGCAGGAGCGGTCCTTAAGGACCGCTCCTGAACGGTCCTCTCACAGGCAAAAACATGAGGAGAAAAATGATCCACGTCAGGAAGGCTTAAGAAAGAGCAAAAACGACGCCGTTCGAAATTAAAAAATTTTGACTTCCAAACGGAATCAGATGGAGCAAACGGTAGAATTGAAATTTTGAAAAACAAGTTGAAATTTTGAAATAGCCGCAGAAAACAAAATTGAGGGAAGAGTTTTGGCATGCTACGCCTGAAGGTAGGGAGTTGACAGAAAACTCTTATCTCAGTTTTCTTTTGTTAGAAAACTCTTTTCTCATCTCAGTTTCTGTCCGAGAGTGTTACCGAGAAACGGAGAAGAGACTTCGGAGACTAGGTCAGCAAATGTTGTATCCACTTAAATGCTTACAAGGCAAGCGGCAAGGTAGAGTGTTACCGAGAAACTAAGAAGAGACTTTGGATATTGGGTCAGCAAATGTTGTATCCACTTAAATGCTTACAAGGCAGGCGGCAAGGTAGAGTGTTATCGAGAAACTAAGAAGAGACTTCGGATACTGGGTCAGCAAATGTTGTATCCATTTAAATGCTTACAAGGCCGGCGGCAAGGTAGAGGCAAACAGAGGAAATTCAGCATCTCATAAAACACCAGATTTTATCCTTCAACTTAATAGCAGAAGCAGTTGCGCTATCTGAGTTTGGTGAAACCTAGAGCATATTTACAATACCAAGGTAATGTGACTGAACCATGTAACTAACTATGGCCAATCATTTGTCACCCAAATGCACATATGTTAAATTAATGATGAAATTAGATTTATTAAAGACATCATATGAAGATGATAGAAGAATAGTAAAGTTGTACCGTATCTGTGTGTATGCGAGCATTCAGCTTTTTAGTGATGGATTATAATGAAATAGTAGTTATCGAAAGACCCAGGGCATGTATTCAAGTAAAGCGGAATTAGGGAAAGATGAGAAAAATAAAGTCATATTTAACAAGTGAATGAATGTACATCCTGTTGTAAATTAGTTACAGGTTATAGGCACTGTATTATAAGTGATATGAATCATTATGCATCCAGCAGTTGGTCCATGCTCATGACACAATCTTAGTTTGCCCCTCTCTCCTGACCATACGGTGTGTGTAAAATAGAGGTACAGAGTTGAATGAGGTGAAGTAGAGGAAAAGACCGACCTATGTGAATAATAAATGGGTGTACTTGGTATTGTAAGTAAATTACATGATGTAATAAATATATTACAATGAGTAGAAAATGCTTGTTTGGCCCTCAAAATATAGAAATAGTAGAAAATGCGGAGTTGGTTTCGGCGGTTGTCATTGACGAATGACATAAGGTCCAGTGAAACAAAGTACCTAGAATCTAAATATAATCACCCGAGTGGATAAACATACAGTTAAAATATATTTACATCATGTGACCAACACATTACAGTACGTATAACCTAATGTACACGGAGTTGTATTGTACATACATAATGCCGTTGTCTTAGAGTATAATAGGATTTGGTATACGAGTATTTGTATAACATTAATCATATCGATTGGGAGTAGTAATAGGATTTAGTATACAAGTAATGTGTGTAACATAACACATTATGAATGGTAATATACACTTATGTTGTCGTTTATGTACATATTATTCATGAACTGTTGTAAATTATGGTGTTTGATATATAATTGGTAGGAGCAGGAGTAATAGATTGTAGCAAATTAGCAGAAGATGGGACTCTTGAGTTAGGAATGGAGGTCAATAGTGAAGAAGATGCGTACAAGTTTTACAATAAATATGCCTTTAAAATGGATTTTAGTATACGCAAAGACTATTTAAAATGGGTTCTAGAAGCAAAGTTGTAAATTAGTTACATGTTATAGGCACCGTATTACAATTGATATGAATCATTGTGCATGTAGTAGTTGGTCCATGCTCATGGAGCAATATTAGTTTGTCCCTCTCCTGGCCATGCAGTGTGTATAAAATGGAGGCGCAGATCAGAATGAGATGAAACAGAGAAAAAGACATATATGTGAATAATAAATGGGTGAACCTTGTGTTGTAAGTAAATTACATGATGTAAGAAATATATTACAATGAGTAGAAAGTACTTGTTTGGCCCTCAAAATGTAGAAATAGTAGAAAATATGGAGTTGGCTTATGCGGTTGTCATTAACGAATGACATAAGGTCCAGTGAGCTAAAAAACCTAGAATAAAAATATAATCACTAGCGTAGATGTACATACAGTTAAAATAGACTTACATCGTGTGACCAATACATTACAGTCTGTATAAGTTAGTGTACATGGAGTTGTATTTGTACATAGATAATGCCGTTGTCTTAGAGTCAAAATAAGGTGATATGAATCTTTAATCATATTAATAAGTATAATAATAGGATTTGGTATACGAGTACTGTGTGATTCATAACACATTATGAATGGTAATATATATTTATGTTGTCGTTTATGTACATACTATTCATGAAGTGTTACAAATTAGGATGTTTGATGCATAATTGGCAGGATCAGAAGCAATGGATTGCAGCAAATTGGCAGAAGATAGGACCCCTGAGTTAGGAATGGAGTTCAACAGCGAAGAGGATGCGTACAAGTTTTACAACAAATATGCCTTTAAAATGGGTTTTAGTGTACGTAAAGACTATCTGAATAAAGACAAAGACGGCGTGACCACGTCTAGAAGATATAGTTGCTGCAAGGAAGGTGTGAAACGCAAGTACGAAGGTGATGTGATGCCAAAGAGGACACGAGCGCCGACGAAAACAGGGTGTGGAGCTAAAATGGTTATCGTGTTGTTTAGAGGAACAATGAAGTACCATGTGCATGACCTTGTCTTAGAGCATAACCATGAGTTGCACATTGCTCAATGTGCGCACATGATACCATCACAAAGAAAAGTGACCGAGGCTCAAGGATTCCAAGCTGAAATAAGCGAGGACGCTGGGCTTTCATTGAAACAGAGCCATGAGCTTATGGGAAAGGAGGCAGGTGGGATGGAAAATGTGGGATATACTCGGGAAGACCTGAAACGATATCTTCGTACTCGACGGGAAAGGAGTTTGAAATATGGAGAAACAGGTAGCATGCTGAATTATTTTCAAGAGCAAACACTCGAGAATCCATCGTTTTTTCATGCCGTACAGCTGGACTGTGAAGAACAGATAACGAATATCTTTTGGGCTGATGCAGGAATGTTAATTGATTACAAATTTTTTGGAGACGTAGTCACATTCGACACAACTTACAAAACAAATAAAGAATACCGGCCACTTGGAGTGTTTGTGGGTTTTAACCAACATAGGCAAATTGTGATATTTGGTGCTGCCCTTATGTATGATGAGACTATAGATTCTTTCAAATAGGTGTTTGGTACATTTCTAGAAGCAATGTGCGGAAAGCGTCCAAGTACCATACTAACCGACCAAGATCATGCCATGGCAGCCGCTCTTTCAGTTGTTATGCCTGAAACATTTCACGGTCTATGTACGTTTCACATAAGGAGTAATTTCATGAAACATCTTGGCAATCACTACAAGGAAAATAGTGATCTTCCATACATGTTTGGTGCATGCATGTATGAGTTTGAAGAAGTGGAACAATTCAATAGGGTGTGGGAAGCGATGGTGAAGAAACACAATCTTGAAAATAATGAATGGCTCTCCGGGTTG